TTATATACTAATTGTACAATCAATTAAAGGTATACACCACATGCTTCAAGATACTAAAAAGTTACCAAGTAAAAAACAAAAATAAATAAATACAAAAACTTAGAATAGAACAAAATAATTTTATGAAAGTAAATGAAACAATGACTTACACCTAGTTACTTAAATAATGTATCGTTTACTGTGGCCTTAAACTCAGCTAGAGACATAACATTAACATCTATTGACCCTCCGCACTTATTATATAGTTGGGAAATTCTGGAAACCGGTGAGTTGGCTCCCAAAACTGTTTTGCGAAATGGACGAGAGAGAGGTTCGATGGGCTTACGAGGCATTCGTGACGGAACTTTAAAATTAAATTTTATCAGGAGTGCAGGACAATGCAACTGATATCTTATTATCTTGAAAAAGATGGATAGGTCAAGTATATCCCTGCGGTTGTCCAAGCTCTGCATCTTTAGGAACTCTAGTAGGTCCTTGTAGGGGCTAAATCTTTTATGCCAGAAGTGTGAAAACACCAAGTGTTTTACTAATCGTTTTTGAATGCGTTCAATACGGAGTGTGTGAGTAGCATAATGTGGACGCCAGACCACACTTCCATACTCAAGGATCGATCTAACCAAGCTATTGTATAGCGCAATTTTTGAGGAATGGCGTTTGAATACTCTAGCGTTCCTGATAATAAAACCCAACATCTTGGACGCCCTGCCTATGATGTAGTCAATATGTGGGACAAATGTCATTTTATTATCCGTGAGCACACCCAGATCCCTTACTACTGTCCTTTCTCCTAATCGAATCCCATTAATGCTGTAGATGGATGGAATAGGATTCAATTTCCTAGTGAATTTAATGTGAACACATTTATTGATATTGAGCTCCATTCCATTCGTCTGACACCATTTCACTAGCGCGTCAAGATCTTTTTGTAAATGCAAAACATCATCTAGCGTTTCAATTACTTTCCACAGTTTTAGGTCATCTGCGAACATCGAAGGGGACGAGTATTTTATACAATTAGGTACATCGTTCACAAAGATATTGAAGAGAATAGGGCCTAGGTGTGAACCTTGCGGAACACCAGAAGTGATATCTCGTAGCTCTGAGCTAAAACCATTAACGACCACATAGAAAGAACGTTCACTTAGATACGATTCGAACCAAGCTAGAACAGAACCCCCTATTCCGTATGCAGATAGTTTTGTCAGAAGCCGTCGATGGACTACTCTATCAAAGGCTTTGCTGAAGTCTGTATATATTGCGTCTACTTGTATATTGCCATCAATGTGACTTGCAATGTCTTCCACATACATAACCAGATTAGTATTGGTAGACCTACCTTTTGTGAAGCCGTGCTGGTTGTCGTTTAAATACTTGTCGAAGTAGGCTTGAAGAATAGGGTAGACTAGAGACTCGAACACTTTAGCTAATGAGGACAATATGGAAATAGGCCTGTAGTTGCTAATGATCTGAGCATCACCTGCCTTATAAACTGGTACCACTTTAGAAACCTTAATAGATAATACGAGCTCTTCGGATGACATTGTCCAAGAACTAAGGACAACATTATACTAAAGAATACCATAACATTATTACACGGTTATTTAACCGTGTATTAAGGATGGATTCAACCAAATACTATGTTAAACCAGAGTAACTAACCCTCGAATAATTTTACTCTTTGGTCTTACACCAAGAATACTTAATGATTTCTTAAATTTACGCGAACACGGGGGTCCCCCCCGTGACCATGGGTGCTGTAAAGCACCCGAAACGTCGGGATTTAAAAATAAGTAGAATCAGTTAAATAAATGCGATATAATCTGTAAGTTTAGTTTTATTCACCAAGAATACTTCATTTTGCGTTTTGTAACACAAACGTAGAGAAGCCAATACTGGTTGGTTTTGGTTACTCCAGAGTTTATTCATTCAAACAAGTAAACCAACTTAAACCAAAATACAACTGTTGTAAGACGCAATCCAAGATTTGAGGTCTACATAATTTGCCGTAAGTGTAAATAATGCCACCCAATGGCAGCCCCTTAGTTGCTGACTTCTCCCCCCGTTTTCATTCTCAGATAAGGCGCACCAGAAACAAGCCACACTGCCCTTCGCATCCTCTAACTCCACCTGCACTATGGACTCCCCGAGCCCGATATGTGAATGGAGCCAGGAAAAACTATTACTTGGAAGCATCAAGTGGTGCAGCATCACCTGTTTCTCTGTCTACGCTTCAAATTGGCACAGTCATTTTCTATGGTATAGCCAGTATAGTATATATAGAGGTCAGTGTGTACGATATATTACTTTCCTCTATGGCTGTTTGCTTTGAACTTTGGAGATTTGAAGTAACTGTGAATTTTGAGAACGAAATATTACAAAATGGAAAATAAAGTTAATTATAAGCGGAGCTGCTCCTATAGCTGGAGTGAATCAGAAAAGGTATGAAGAGATTTCTGTAAGTAATCAGTAAATATTAATGTCATATTCATTTCACTGTAATATCTAGTGTACCTTTTGCAGTCCTTGCTTACACAATTAATAAAAGGAAAATACATATTTTGAAGAAAACAATGGTTGAAATTTAGAATCGTTTGACAGGAATTTGGGGGAGTAAGGTATTTTATTTGGTAGAGGTTTGGTCCCCGATTATAATAATACCACTCCCATTAAAAGATAATGCACCGTTCTTGAGAAAAACGAAAAAGAAAATCCCATAGAACTAACCTCAAAATCATAACTCAAAATGAATTAATGGGATAGAAGGTGGTGGAGAGGGAGGCGGGAGAGTTGTAGTGTCGCCCCCCCACTTCCACATCCTGCCGTACATGTTTAGTTTTTTTTTTATAAATTTTTAAAAATCTAATTTTGAGGTTATGTTTTTGTAATGTTTTTGAATATAATCCTTATTTAAGGGGGGGAGAGAGTTGGGGGAGGGAAGCACCACGTAGCGCAGTCGAGGGAAGGCTGGTCGACGGAGCCCTGCTTAGCGGGGCTCCTACTTCTGAGTGGTTTACAAAAAAATAACCACGAAGGGCATTCCCTATTTCCTATTTCCATTCCTATTCGCTCGCTTCGCTCGCTCACTCGACCCCACCATGCCCTTCTAACCCAACCTGTACGAGTCGGGGTGCCCTAAGTCCCGCTCGCTTCTTTCGCTCTTGCACTCAACAAAACACCAAAATATTAGATTTTATAATTACTTTAAATTATAAACATAATATATAATACAATAATAACCACACTACGGCTCGCACAGGTGCCTGCGATTTGCTACGACGGGTGAGGGCTGCTCTCCCTCCGCACCTACGGCTTTACAAAAACACTTTAGGAGTAGGGCAGACAAGACTACGTGGATCGGGGCGTGCTGACTTAATTTTAGTACAGATTCGATCAGATCAGATATCTATAGTCAGGTTGCCTTTGCTCCCGCCACAGACACAAAATTCTGTATGCTATCCAGCTTTCACAGTAACATTGTATAATTTTTTCTCAGAAAGTCTAGAACCCAGAGCCGTAAATTCAGTTAATAATAAATAATGTATCACTTTTCATACTTTACATATTTAAGGTTATAATATTTTTTATTTATTTTTTCGATAACGGTGCATTGCCTTTTAATGTAAGTGGTATTATTGTAATCGGGGACCAAACCTCTACCAAATAAAACATCTTACTCCTCCAAATTCCTGCCAAACGATTCTATATCCAACCCAAAACAATGATTTAAGTAAAAACAACAATCTAAATGATTGATTGATGAAAAAGGCAGCGTGGCAAGATTCTCCAAAGGTATGTCCGAACATTTAAATAAATTATAAAAGTCGTGTACTGAATGATACATGTGGTATTTTTTTTTGTTTTAGCTTTAATCAGCTGAACGACACGAGGAGAGATCTCACACAATTAATAAACCTGTGGAGGTATACAAAAATCAATATCAAAAAGAGGGACTTCGAATATAGGCGCAATTGTAATGCAACTGGTGGAGGCCCTCGCCCACCTAGTAATGCAAATGCTTCATACTGAGTTTGAAGTAGATGTAAATTATTTTGATAGTAACAGCCTTCACAGCAAAAAAGACCATGTGGTAATTATTGGTATCTACCAGTGTCAGATATTTAAGTCTTGGATTGAAGCATACTGAACCTAAAATTTGTTTTATTTCAGAATAAAATAAGTAATACAAACTTAATTCAACCTTGTTGTTCTGGTTCTTCAATACCACTATTTGCAGAAATAGTATGTAACATGATCAGTTTTGTTTTATACACTCTTGATAAAAAAATTGCCTCGACTTGCTAATGGGATTCACTTCCTTGTACATCACACTTGTACATTTGTCATAGGATTAATATACCTACATTCATTTATTACACATATATATAGGACTTGGTGTCGCTACCTGTAATAGTAATAGTGTAGTGGTAGCAACACCAAGTCCATAATTGGAAGGTAATAAAAAAGAGCCCAAACTGAAAAAGAAAAGAGAGTATGTATCATATTAAAATGATATAGTTAACACATTTTGTATTTTCTTAAATGAAATTGTAATCAATTTTGCTTTCTATCATTTAAGGTCACACCTGTTACCTCAGAACAGAGAGAATTATTTCTCTTGGTAAAATCTGCACGAGAGAAACAAATGGAATTCCAAGAAGCAGAGTACAGAAGGCATATGGAAATAATGGAAGCAGAACATAAAATGCGACTGGGAATAATAAAAAAGGCAAATGAATACTGGGGACAGAAACTCGCAGATCAAAATTAAGTTATCCACCGTTCTACTACATTTCTTATTTGTATGTGTTTGTGATTGTAGCGGTGCTCGGCTTCGGTTAGAGGGCGTAAAACTGGAGTGAGTAGATATGACATATAAGGATACCCACTGTCTCCTAGTAGCTTTCCACTAAATTCACCATTTTTAAACCTTCTTTTTATCTCACTCTCCCGGAAAATGCAGGCATCATGAGTGCTACCTCTCCAACAACACACATTCATTGTCAGGTCAATTCATCATTGATTGTCAGGTCAGGGCCACATACTATCTAAAAATGAATGATATATAATAAATAAATACCTATAAATAGCCTCATAAACAGTGTTATAAGTACTGAAGTTAATGCTGAACTATAATATAAAGAATGTTATTTATTTTGTTTAAGTTACAGTTTGATTCTTACCTGTGTATTGATAGAATAATGGCCTTTTCTATTTACAAAATACTGACCAGTTTCACCACCTACTTTTCTTATTTTTACATGGGTGCAGTCAATAGCTTCTATTACATGAGAAAACCCACAAACACCAGCAAACTCTCTTTGTACACAATTCTGTTCAGCAAGTGTAGTGGACAATTTTATAAATTTGGAGCTCTTACTGGCTAATGCACGACCAACTCGTTTACAGAGGCGAGACATGGTTTGTTGACTTATGCCGTGCAATTCTCCGCAGTCATCATGTATCTGTTATTGTAAAATTAAACTCAGTAGATGTACAACTACCTACCTTAATTGACAATATTTGTTTCGGATGGCAGACACGTCCAGTGCCCGCAGTCGCCCTGGGACAATCTCCCACTTTATGACGTACGTTCCTTGCCTAGTGCTGGTGACGCACGTCCCACGCACCCCTGAATGCGTATGTGTAATACGACCCTACTAGGACCCCGAGAGAGAGAGAGAGATAGACGATCAGCTTGGGGGAGGCAATTAAAACACCTTTTTCCTAGGTAGCTTCTTGTTCCTTAGGTTTCGGCTTCCTTTTTCCTTATTGTTGTAGCCTCTTCGACGGCTGTGCTGCGACTGCGATTAGAGCTTCGTATTGTCTTCTGCATGGACTATGGGGGTCCAGCAGGTCTCGGGCCTCGGGGTATGCCCCCATTGCCTGGACTTTCCTCATGGCCCACCACTATGGGCCAGTCCTAGGAGCCTTTTCTAGGCTAGATATTTAAAACGGAATATTCCGTGGTTGGAAAAAAAATTTCCGTAGTTAACCGACTACGGAAAAAAGGAGGTTGTCTAGTAAAAGTCTGAATTGGCCTATCAGCGGCATTGAAGGTTGTTACTCGACTCTCTAATCGCTATAGAGAGGAGTTCTCTTGGAAGAGGTCGCCCGTTCGGGGGCCTAGTGTGTAGCGGCGCAAAGCCGTTCAGGTGTTCGTGTGGCCCGTTGTCGGCTCGTTCAAACATGCCGCGCGCCAGCCGGGCCACAAAGTCGGTGATGTTCTCGACCTTTAGATCAGCCGCTATGACGTCATTCCGGACGTAGCGACCTGCTCCGACGATCGTCCTTAATGACAGATTCTGCTGAGCCTGTAGTCGCCGCCTCAGAGGGTCGCTCAGAAGCGCGTACACCAGGCCGGAGCAGCGAATTGAACAGCGCGACGTTAGCGCGGTTTTCCCTGTTTCGCGCGTTGTTTTTATTTCGAGTCGAAACCTTAGGAGCCTTTATTTATTAAAATTTTCCCATAACCCTTACAATTTATACATCGTTAGATTGCTCTTGTACTATTCTATAATATAAAATAATAATATAAACTATTAAGTTCTTTATACAAAACTTCTAGAGCAAAAACCCTACAAAATTGTTAGTTTGCTATACATTATATCTTATATTTATTGCAACAGATGTCTAATCTACTTATTTTCTTTTGCTTATATTTTATTACATTCAAACCATTAATGTAACAATAGTTTTTAAGCGCTAAACAAAACTTAAATTTTTTATAAATATTTACAATGCAAATTTCGCTTAAAAACTTCCTTATACAATTATTGAGAACTAACCTTTAATTTTATAATTATATTTAAATTATATTCTAATGAGTTAATATGCTAATTACATTAATTAAAAAATTATAATGATTTCATTGAACAAAACACAATTCGGCACTAGTAAATTGTATGCCTTGTCATCGACACTAACTACACTAATTAGGAAATTGTAATAGTTTTATGAACAAGATACAGTTCGTCACTGGTTAATCATGCTTGTCGCCGACATTCTCCCCTTCGTGCGTCGCATCATCCTCCTGGCTCGGCGATACTCCCGGCACCAGCAGCGCTACTCTTGAACTGGGTCTTCTCAGCACACCTCCGCGCGTCTCGACGTCGACGATCCTTGTTCGCCCATCAGGTCCAGGATACACTTGGGAGATTCTGCCGCGTGGCCAAGTGCATGTTGGTAGGCTGTGGTCGACGATCAGCACGACGTCTCCAACTTGCAGGTCTGCAGCGCTGGTTTTTGCCTTCGTTTTCCTTGGCAAAAGAGTGGGTAGATATTCTCGCAGCCATCGTTGCCAGAAGTGGGCGGCAAGCCGCTGTGTGGCCTTCCACGTGGATCTGCCCACGAGTTCGTTGTCGTTGAAGCTGCAGATTCTTGCTGCGCCGCAGGACTGCCCGATGAGGAAGTGGTTCGGTGTTAGTGCTTCTTCAAGGTTCTCAGAGAGGTGTGTGAGAGGTCGAGAGTTGACTATGTGCTCGGCCTCTAGGAAGAGAGTGTGGAGTACCTCCTCTCGTGGATGCTTCTCGTGAAGTGTGGCGTCTAGTGCGGTCTTGACTGATCGCACCAGACGTTTCCATTCGCCACCCATATTTGGTGCACCTGGAGGGATGAATTTCCATTGCACGCCGATCTTCTCTGCTTCTGAGGTGAGGTCTTCTTGCTGCAAGGTGTCGAACGCTTCTTTTATTTCTTTGTTGGCGCCGACGAAGTTAGTCTCGTTGTCGCTGTAGATTTTCTTTGGCATCCCTCTTCTTGCGGCGAATCGTCGTAGCGCCATGATCGTGCTGTCGGTGGAGAGCGAAGGAGTTAGCTCAATGTGCACAGCCTTTGTTGTCAGGCATGTAAATAGAGCCCCCATCTCTTTTCGTGCCGTCTTGCTACGGTGATTGTCATCGGGCCGAAGTAGTCCACGCCCGTGCACGTAAAAGGAGGATATCCGTGCATCAGCCTTTCCGCCGGTAAGTTGCCTGTTGGTATTTCTTGCGGTCTTGCTTTCTTTGTTTTGCACCATTGACATTGATGCTGAACCGCCTTGATTGCTGACCTTAGACCGAGTACCCAGAAGCGTTGTCGTATTTCATTCATCACCGTTGCGTGATTTCCATGATTGAAGCGGCAGTGGAATTCTTCTATGATGAGTTGTGTTGTCTTGTCCTTGCTGTCGAGCACGATGGGTCGTTTGTAGTCCCTGGTCACACCCTGTATCGCGTCGATTCTTCCTTTTAGCCGCAGGAGACCTTCTTCTAGTACTACGTCGAGCCTTTTAAATTTACTGCTGCCCTGTAATTGCTTTCCATGCTGAAGGCGCTTGATATCTTCTCTAAAACTGTTGTCTTGGCTTCTTTTCAGCAAAAGAGTTTCAGCTTGTTCAAGTAGTTCGTTGTCCAGTGGTATATATTTCCTTTCTGTTGTTTCGGAAGATCTGCGTTGCTTCTCTATAGTCTTCGTTCCTTTCCTTTGTGTTATTTTCCAGGTGAGATCGTTTTTGCAGACGTTGACCTTCTCCCTTTTTCTGTAGAGTTGTAAGAACTGCAGTACTCTCGCTGTGGCTCGCCAAAGCCTCTTCCATGAAGAGAATCTCTCGGTGTCTGGTGAAGGATGAGCCGTTCGAGCTGTTGCTGCGACGTCCGCTGCTTTTTCCTCGCCGGTTGTTGCCTTCTTGAAGTTTCTTAGTGCCGGCCAATGTGCCTCTTCTTTTTTCAGGAAGCTTGGTCCGGTGTACCATCGGTGGTTGCAGTCAAAGTCTTCCGGTACGTGGCGCGTTGCGTCATCTGCAGGATTCTGCGCTGTAGGCACCCATCTCCAGTCTTGTATCTCCGCCAAGCGATGAGCCACGAACGTCTTGAAGGTTCTCGCGTCTGTTTTTATCCAGGAGAGTACGATGCTGGAGTCTGTCCAAAATGTTTTCTTTGTTACTTTTAGGTCCAATTCTTCTTCCGCTGAATGAGCCAGTCTGCTTCCTAGGAGGGCTGCCTGTAGTTCGAGTCTTGGGATGGACACTGGCTTCAGTGGAGTGACTCTCGCCTTTGCTGCCACTAAGCTGATGTGGTAAGTTCCATCTTGCCCTTCTTTCCTCCAATAAACTGCTGCTGCGTACGCTAGCTCGCTCGCATCAACGCAAGTGTGTAGCTCCCCCCTCGGTGCAATGTGGCGCCAGGCATCTCGGAACTTGCAGGCTTTCGAGCAGCTTCATCTTAAGCGACCATGTAGCCAGTTTTTTTTTTCTATTGCCTCGTGTACGCAACCATATTTACTACGCGCAAGTTCTGAACCAAGCTCGAAGTCTTTAGGAGACCACTTGTACCTGAAAATGAATTTTTACTCATGTAACTCGTCAGATATTTACAATATCTAAAAATAATAAATAAATAAATATTCCTTACGGTTTTCCGAAAGCTTCCTGCATCATTATTTTGTTTTCCAGTTCCACTACTTCGCCCAAATCTTTATTCATGGCCATTATGTAGTATAATTTAACGAAAAGTAAAAGATTTCAACAAAAACTTCTCATCTAACGTCTAGTCGTTGTTTTTCAACCAACTTTATAAAATTAACGTTCGTAATCGTAATTCAAATTCAACCATTGACAATTTTTTTCTTTGTGACTAGTATCTAGCGTAACCACTTTTTAATGAGGGAATCTACCAAAGGCACTGCTAAAATCTATTGAAATCTACTAGGTTGCATTTTAAAATCCTTTCTGAGCCGTTTTGGGAAGATACGATTTGAAATAAAACACAGTTGTTAATGAACGCTACATTTAATCAATCATTTATGATTAACATTTTTGTATTGATTGTCATTGTCTTGGAATTTTTTTAAATTTTTATACAATTGTTTTTCATTTTTCACTGTTTCCATCATCGAAGTACCAGTACCAGGTTTAAATTTTGTAAATTTCCCGATTCCTTTAACCCCTCCTTAGCGTGTAAAATAGCACAAACGTTTTGATTATTAAATCTGTTACGATCTTCTGTTTTTATTATATTTATAGCAGGGAAAATTTGTGCACATTTGGCGTTCAATATTGGTAAACAAATCATTTGCTTTGCAAATTTACTGATGTTTCCAAATTGAGGTTTATTATTGTCAGTATGACAAAATTTACTTATTGACGCCCAAAACTCTTCAACATTAGTAACAGCCTCTCTGCTGTTAGTATTGCATAATAAGTTAGCGGACTCAGTGTTAAGTTTAAGTTCCCTGAATTCATTGTTGATTAGTTGAATGTCACTTTCGGACACAATGTTTGGAAAGTTTGAGACAACATTAAACAAAAAGGCGATCCAGTAAAACCAAACATATTTTGATATGTTTTGCTGAAGCACTATGCTCTTTGATAGACGCAATTCTTGCCAAAATTTTAGAATTACAAGCTTTACAATAAGTATTATTGTCATCACATCGTCAAGCCACTTTAAAAATAATGCGTTTTCTTCCCACTCCGCACGCTAAGTTTTATCGTATCTTCTTTTCATTTTAAATTACATAAATGTATGGTTCCGCGAAAGCAAACAATATAAATGAACGAAAACGACTAATAAAACTGTGTTATCTAACATTATAGGAGCAACTTAAAAATGAACTGAGTTGAAAGACCTATTTTATAAAAATAGTCTTCATCTAATGAAAAATGAAATTCAATTTGCTATACCCACAGTAACGTTCGTTCAATAAATAATAAGGGAATCCCCAGATCACTTCACAGTAAAAACACATGAGTAAGGAAAACGATCAGAGGGGTAGCTACATACAAACGGCTCGATGCGAATACACACATAGCGTAGCGGTGTGTACGTGAATTCTCAGCGACAGGTTTACCGACGCTCCGTCAGAGTATCTATGAAAGGACTGTTAGACGTGCACATTTAAATGATTAGTCCAACAATATTTCGAAATTGTAGAAATCAATTAATTTATTAAGTTACTTACCCTTAGTAAATAATTAGACTTATAATAAGTAAAATAATCACAGTTAAGTAAATTATATGAATTTGTATAGGTAAAAAATAAGTGTACTGTATAAACAAAAATTTATAATGGTTGTAGTTGATGTAATTAAAAGCTTTTTCCTTGTTAATAATTTTAATCAATATTCAGGACAATTACATGTTGAAAGGAAAACAATTACTGAATAATATTTTCTTCTTCGTGTCTTATATAATTATTATCTTCATTCTTATTTTAAAACATCATGGATCTAAGTCAGAATAAAAAAGTAATATATATATTTATATTATGTATAACCATAGGCAATAGCTGCCAGTATTTTTCTCTGACTAATAACCTTCTTGAATCCACAAGATCCTCCCCACACAGAAAAATATGAAAGTAGAGACGATATAATATAATTTAAAATACTTAAACATAACATGTAATCGAATTAAGTTAATTTTTAATGTTAATTAGAGAGCAGTATTTTAAATAAACATTCCTAACTAATTGACTAAATACATTTCGTCACCTTAGTCTAAGAATCTTCTTGGAATATTAATTACTCTACCATGTCTAGTACTAATAGAAGATGTTTGAGGTAAATCAGATGATATTATGTCCGAATTCGAAGTCGTCTGAGGACTATAATCCTTAATGTTTAGGGTTACTCACTGTCTTACTTCTATTATTAGATGGGCTGGCCCTGTGCCATTCGTTTGTAACTGTTGTTAGTTCCAGTGGATAAAGACTTTGTACAGCTCTTACTGATTCACCGGTAGCTGTCTGTACTTTTGCAACACTACAATTACCATCAGCACCTGTAATTAACTCCTTTATAATACCTAATGGCCAATATAACCGACTAGTGTCAGTTTCAATAAGAACAATATCGTTTAATTTCGGCAAATTTTGTTTACACCTATCTTTACTACAAATTAAAGCAATATATTCGTTTCTAAAACGTTGTCGGAAATCTGCACGTAATTTGTTTAAATATTGTAAACGAATATTTATATTTTTTGCATCAATGAGATCTAAATCAGGCATCTCTCTATTATCTAAGGGATGTAAAAACATCATTGCAGTCTAAGATTCTCCTTAACATTTCCTTTACTAGGGTTGAAGTGCTAATAGTTGACCAGTTAAGCGCTTTTTATTACTATGAGCTGTACAGCTGACTTGGTTTATTACTTACTTCAAATTTAAATATAGTAAATGATTGTGTAACATTTAGTGTGTTTATAGATATAAAGATTATTCTTTTACTAAAAGCATTTATCAGAATATCAAGTCATAAAATAAAATATGTATATATGCACCACTAGTTGACCAGCAAACTCCAATGCCTGACCGCCAATGTACCATTAGTTGACCATATAGAGACATGTAAGTAAGTAAAACGAAATTTACAAAGAAAATAATGTTTAATAGTTAAAATTTTAATTAATAAAAGCTTTGAAAAGAAGATCAACAAAATCTAATATATTTTAAACAGTAAATGGTAGGTATTTTTACCATTAGTTGATCATATAGAGACATGTAAGTAAGTAAAACGAAATTTACAAAGAAAATAATGTTTAATAGTTAAAATTTTAATTAATAAAAGATTTGAAAAGAAGATCAACAAAATCTAACATATTTTAAATAGTAAATGGTAGATATTTTTCCATTTTCTTTACTACATAAGAGCTTTTTTAATAGAGAGCACAGGGGCATTTATTACTTCCACTACATATTTTTGATGATACTAGATTTTATCAGGCTTATCTGGCCATTTAAACGTATTTCCCATGGAAAAAGTCATAGTGCTTACTTCAAATAAATCTGTTTCAACATTTTGAATAAGCCCTGGAAAATATTCTCCCGCATATGTAATATTACATGATTTCCTTTACATATTCCTTTTTTCTTAGCTGATAAAACACTTTAGATTTCGTCTTCGGAATTCGATTTGGGTTTCTCTATTCGTTTGTTTTCATTTTCTTTATTTATTATTATATCAGTTGTGTTACCGTCTGACTCACTATTACTCCGTATAATGAGTTTGTTTAGTTTCTTTTTTTAATTTTATGCCTTGGACTTCACATTTTTTTCTCTCTACTGAGTCACTGGAGAGTGAACGAATTGGTTTCTTTACTTTACTTTTGCTTGTTTTCTTCTTATCTCGCTTTCTTTTTTTTTTCAAAGTAATCAATGAAATATTTTGATATCACCGCAAGTGGCAGGCGTTCCTTTGTTTTATCTTTATTGGAGAGTCTGATGGCCACAAAATATGGTTACCAAATGCAGGGCTTATTAGTTTTTGTTTTTGGGATATAAGCTGGACTAATTTATTTTTAGAAGGGGAAACTATGTTGCTGCCTTGTTCATTACTTGCAATCCCTCCCTCTGGAGCAGTAGATGAACACTGAATTACTGGAGCGCCTGGCATAGTTTGAAAGAGTGACGGAGTCATATCCGCGCCGCATTATTAGACCAATCGCAAGCTTCTGAGTGGGTGTTAAAGTTGATGCTTCCTGGGCTGATTAAACTAATTTGTTTTCAGTAATAGATACCGAATAGATTAACTGGACAGGCAGTAGGAAACCTCGTTCCTAAGGCTGACCACAGCAAACAGCACAAAACATAACACTGGTCAACTATTGGACAACCACATCGTACAGAAATCATGCTTTAGGTTATATTTAACGAATCAATCAAATAAATGCGTTAAATAAAAAAAAACTTTACATTCTTGAATATATCTTTTAGCCAATACTTGACCACCGTGGACAGCTTTAGGTGCAGGTTAAAATTTCGGAGCCAAAGGATAACCACCCCCACGAGAAACCCTTATCCACATAAAACAGCAGAAATATTACTTTTGGCACTTAAACAAACTATTACCCTTAATCCATATATCATTCAACCAAAAAAATATACAATAAATCAACTAGATTAAATAAGATTTACCAAGAAACCCATAATGAACATTCTTAGTGAATCAGACGCGTACTTACCGGGTGCCATCTTCACTTGCAAAGAACATTGATTGGTCAACCAATATCGAGCTGAATCCTATACCAAGTGACTATAATAATGATGCCAATAAGCAAAACAATAAAACTGATACTAAATTCTACCAATGTACGTTAAAATTGGTTTTTATTTGTGTTTTGGTCAACTATTGGTGCGTGGTCAGCTAATAGAACATTGACCCTACCTTTATAAGGCGCTCCCACCATCCTCCCCACCAGGGCGCACGCGGAGGTACAAAACGCCACTTGATAGTTGGTGGAACTATGCCAGTTGCTGCTTCGTCTTTTGCCCAATCAACCTCTTTTAATAAATTGGCTGAACCTTGAAAATTCGAACCACAATCAGTATATATAATGTTTATGCGGCCCCTTCGTGCTATGAAACGACGTAAGGCCATCAAGAAACTATTTGTGGATAAAGATTCCACAAGCTCTATGTGAACTGCTCTATATGTAGCACAAGTATAAAATACTATATAACATTTCCTTTGATAACGGAGATGCCCCGCTAAATCTATACCAGTTATCTGGAATACTGCATTTGCCTCAACTCTGTTTGATGGCAATGGTGCTTCAGGAACCTCGTAATGTTTTGTCTTGTATCTCTTACATATAACACATTTGGACACAACAATTTTAACAAGACGTCTTAGGCTTAAAATCCATAAATTGTTTCTGAGGTTGGATAGCAAGAGCTGAGTTCCTCCATGATTTAATTTTTCATATCTCTGTCGCACTAACCGCTGTACGATTTCGTTTTTTCCTGGTAGAAGCATTGGCCTTACAAAATCCTTGTCTTCTTTACTCAACTCTAAACGTGTTTTTACTCTTATCACCCCATCGGTATCTATTTCTGTATTTATATTATGCAACGAAAACCCTTCTGTAAAATTCTCTTTCTGTAATAATTTAATTAGTGTCTTTTCTGCATTGATATATTCATCATTTGTTATGTCTGGCTCCTTTATGTCAAACTTTATTCTTATTTTACAATTCATACGTAATATCCATGCCACAAGTCTAACTATGCGGTTATATTTTGAAAAATATGTCAATTTTTGACTGAATGTTTCTATTGTGACATTTGTATTAATCTTGGCCTTTTCGGTTATTTCTGCTTCTACAATCTCTTCATTGACATTAATAATGTTTGATCTTGGCCAATCCGTCTCATTACGCTTCAACCATGCCGGACCTTCCCACCATCTACTTTCCATAAGCTTCTTTGCGTCACAACCTCTTGATGGAAGATCTGATGGATTATACTCACCCGGTAGATGGTACCAATCGTCACAATTGGTTGTTGAACATATTTCTTTCACTCTATTGGAAACAAATGGTTTCCATGGTCTTTTTAGCCATGATAGCACCACAGCAGAGTCAGTCCAAAAATAAACCTTGTATTCCTTACGTTTTATTAGCGATCTTGACTCTAAAATCTCTTTGTATAGCCGAGATGCAATGAGCGCTCCCATAAGTTCTAGTCTTGGTAAAGACATTTTTCTTTTAGCTGGGGTTACCCGATTTTTCGCTAAAACTAGTTGGACTTTTACCTGTTCGTTTAATTTTGTTCTTAAAAACAAACATGCAGCGAAAGATGTTAGGCTGGCATCACAAAATATATGAAGACTTGTCTAACATTTTTCTAAAGGTGCGATTGAGATATGGCTAGGGAACAGACATTGATTGATGAAATGTGCTTCACTTAACCAGTTGTTGAACTCTTGGGCTAACTCTTCGAGTATTTCATGATCCCAATCTATGTTATGTTCACAAATTTTCTGCATAATAAGTTTGGGTATTAAAGTTGCTGGGCAAACAAGTCCCAGCGGATCAAATATATGTTGTGCCACAGCAATCACATATATTCGTTATTTTCTCCGATCTTGCTTCACTTATGTTGACATTACATCTTAAATTATCTAGAACTGTATTCCATGTCATCCATGTTATCATTGAAATTTTTCAAAACCCCCGACTTTAGTATCCTTTTTAGACTTATTTTCATAAGGGTCTCGAATTCCCAATAACTCAAAACTCTACAAATCAGAAAGATTTGTTTTTGATAAGCATGTAGTGCTTGATGTATTGACTGTACTTTGAACTTTTATTGGTCCCTGCAATGTCCATCCTAATTTGGTATTAATAGCCATCAGGTTGTTCCCTAAACTAACCATTTCATTATGTATAATGGATCCTATGTAATCCGATCCAGTGAAGAGACTTATCTCAGTATCTGTATAATCAAAATCACTGATCACAATATTCTAATGGGCCTCGGGGTATGCCCCCATTGCCCGGACTTTCCTCGTGGCCCACCACTATGGGCCAGTCCTAGGAGCCTTTTATAGGCTAGATATTTAAAACGGAATATTCCGTGGTTGGAAAAAAAATTTCCGTAGTTAACCGATTACGGAAAAAAAGGAGGTTGTCTAGTAAAAGTCTGAATTGGCCTATCAGCAGCATTGAAGGTTGTTACTCGACTCTCTAATCGCTATATAGAGGAGTTCTCTTGGAAGAGGTCGCCCGTCCTGCGCCGCTACACACTAGGCCGCCCGAGGGGGCCTAGTGTGTAGCGGCGCAAAGCCGTTCAGGTGTTCGTGTGGCCCGTTGTCGGCTCGGTCAAACATGCCGCGCGCCAGCCGGGCCACAAAGTCTGTGATGTTCTCGACCTTTAGATCAGCCGCTATGACGTCATTCCGGACGTAGCGAGCTGCTCCGACGATCGTCCTTAATGACAGATTCTGCTGAGCCTGTAGTCGCTGCCTCAGAGGGTCGCTCAGAAGCGCGTACCAAGCCGGAGCAGCGAATTGAACAGCGCGACGTTAGCGCGGTTTTCCCTGTTTCGCGCGTTGTTTTTTTTTTCGAGTCGAAACCTTAGGAGCCTTTATTTATTAAAATTTTCCCATAACCCTTACAATTTATACATCATTAGATTGCTCTTGTACTATTCTATAATATAAAATAATTATATTAACTACTAAGTTCTTTATATAAAACTTCTAGAGCAAAAAACCCTACAAAATTACTAAATTGCTATACATTATGCTTTATATTTATTACAATAGATGTCTAATCTACTCATTTTCTTTTGTTTATATTTTATTACATTCAAATCTTTAATTTAACAATAGTTTTCAAGCGCTAAACAAAACTTAAATTTTTTATAAATATTTACAATGCAAATTTCGCTTAAAAACTTCCTTATACAATTATTGAGAACTAACCTTTAATTTTATAATTATATTTAAATTATATTCTAATGAGTTAATATGCTAATTACATTAATTAAAAAATTATAATGATTTCATGAACAAAACACAATTCGTCACTAGTAAATTGTATGCCTTGTCATCGACACTAACTACACTAATTAGGAAATTGTAATAGTTTTATGAACAAGATACAGTTCGTCACTGGTTAATCATGCTTGTCGCCGACATTCGTGCGTCGCATCATCCTCCTGGCTCGGCGATACTCCCGGCACCAGCAGCGCTACTCTTGAACTGGGTCTTCTCAGCACACCTCCGCGCGTCTCGACGTCGACGATCCTTGTTCGCCCATCAGGTCCAGGATACACTTGGGAGATTCTGCCGCATGGCCAAGTGCATGTTGGTAGGCTGTGGTCGACGATCAGCACGACGTCTCCAACTTGCAGGTCTGCAGCGCTGGTTTTTGCCTTCGTTTTCCTTGGCAAAAGAGTGGGTAGATATTCTCGCAGCCAACGTTGCCAGAAGTGGGCGGCAAGCCGCTGTGTGGCCTTCCACGTGGATCTGCCCACGAGTTCGTTGTCGTTGAAGCTGCCGATTCTTGCTGCGCCGCAGGACCGCCCGATGAGGAAGTGGTTCGGTGTTAGTGCTTCTTCTTCAAGGTTCTCAGAGAGGTGTGTGAGAGGTCGAGAGTTGACTATGTGCTCGGCCTCTAGGAGGAGAGTGTGGAGTACCTCCTCTCGTGGATGCTTCTCGTGAAGTGTGGCGTCTAGTGCGGTCTTGACTGATCGCACCAGACGTTTCCATTCGCCACCCATATTTGGCGCACCTGGAGGGATGAATTTCCATTGCACGCCGATCTTCTCTGCTTCTGAGGTGAGGTCTTCTTGCTGCAAGGTGTCGAACGCTTCTTTTATTTCTTTGTTGGCGCCGACGAAGTTAGTCACGTTGTCGCTGTAGATTTTCTTTGGCATCCCTCTTCTTGCGGCGAATCGTCGTAGCGCCATGATCGTGCTGTCGGTGGAGAACGAAGGAGTTAGCTCAATGTGCACAGCCTTTGTTGTCAGGCATGTAAATAGAGCCCCTATCTCTTTTCGTGCCGTCTTGCTACGGTGATTGTCATCGGGCCGAAGTAGTCCACGCCCGTGCACGTAAAAGGAGGATATCCGTGCATCAGCCTTTCCGCCGGTAAGTTGCCTGTTGGTATTTCTTGCGGTCTTGCTTTCTTTGTTTTGCACCATTGACATTGATGCTGAACCGCCTTGATTGCTGACCTTAGACCGAGTACCCAGAAGCGTTGTCGTATTTCATTCATCACCGTTGCGTGATTTCCATGATTGAAGCAGCAGTGGAATTCTTCTATGATGAGTTGTGTTGTCTTGTCCTTGCTGTCGAGCACGATGGGTCGTTTGTAGTCCCTGGTCACACCCTGTATCGCGTCGATTCTTCCTTTTAGCCGCAGGAGACCTTCTTCTAGTACTACGTCGAGCCTTTTCAATTTACTGCTGCCCTCTAATTGCTTTCCTTGCTGAAGGCGCTTGATATCTTCTCTGAAACTGTTGTCTTGGCTTCTTTTCAGCAAAAGAGTTTCAGCTTGTTCAAGTAGTTCGTTGTCCAGTGGTATATATTTCCATTCTGTTATTTTGGAAGATCTGCGTTGCTTCTCTATAGTCTTCGTTCCTTTCCTATGTGTTATTTTCCAGGTGAGATCGCTTTTGCAGACGTTGACCTTCTCCCTTTTTTTGTAGAGTTGTAAGAACTGCAGTTCTCTCGCTGTGGCTCGCCAAAGCCTCTTCCATGAAGAGAATCTCTCGGTGTCTGGTGAAGGATGAGCCGTTCGAGCTGTTGCTGCGACGTCCGCTGCTTTTTCCTCGCCGGTTGTTGCCTTCTTGAAGTTTCTTGGTGCCGGCCAATGTGCCTGTGATTCTGCGCTGTAGGCACCCATCTCCAGTCTTGTATCTCCGCCAAGCGATGAGCCACGAACGTCTTGAAGGTTCTCGCGTCTGTTTTTATCCAGGAGAGTACGATGCTGGAGTCTGTCCAAAATGTTTTCTTTGTTACTTTTAGATCCAATTCTTCCGCTGAATGAGCCAGTCTGCTTCCTAGGAGGGCTGCCTGTAGTTCGAGTCTTGGGATGGACACTGGCTTCAGTGGAGTGACTCTCGCCTTTGCTGCCACTAAGCTGATGTGGTAAGTTCCATCTTGCCCTTCTTTCCTCCAATAAACTGCTGCTGCGTACGCTAGCTCGCTCGCATCAACGAAAGTGTGTAGCTCCCCCTCGGTGCAATGTGGCGCCAGGCATCTCGGAACTTGCAGGCCTTCGAGCAGCTTCATCTTAAGCGACCATGTAGCCAGTTTTTTTTTCTATTGCCTCGTGTACGCATCCATATTTACTACGCGCAAGTTCTGAACCAAGCTCGAAGTCTTTAGGAGACCACTTGTACCTGAAAATGAATTTTTACTCATGTAACTCGTCAGATATTTACAATATCTAAAAATAATAAATAAATAAATATTCCTTACGGTTTTCCGAAAGCTTCCTGCATCATTATTTTGTTTTCCAGTTCCACTACTTCGCCCAAATCTTTAGATACGATTTGAAATAAAACACAGTTGTTAATGAACGCTACATTTAATCAATCATTTATGATTAACATTTTTGTATTGATTGTCATTGTCTTCGAATTTTTTTTTAATTTTTATACAATTGTTTTTCATTTTTCACTGTTTCCATCATCGAAGTACCAGTACCAGGTTTAAATTTTGTAAATTTTCCGATTCCTTTAACCCCTCCTTAGCGTGTAAAATAGCACAAACGTTTTGATTATTAAATCTGTTACGATCTTCTGTTTTTATTATATTTATAGCAGGGAAAATTCGTGCACATTTGGCGTTCAATATTGGTAAACAAATCATTTGCTTTGCAAATTTACTGATGTTTCCAAATTGAGGTTTATTATTGTCGGTATGACAAAATTTACTTACTGACGGCCAAAACTCTTCAACATTAGTAACAGCCTCTCTGCTGTTAGTATTGCATAATAAGTTAGCGGACTCAGTGGTAAGTTTAAGTTCCCTGAATTCATTGTTGATTAGTTGAATGTCACTTTCGGACACAAGGTTTGGAAAGTTTGAGACTAAACAAAAAGGCGATCCAGTAAAACCAAACATATTTTGATATGTTTTGCTGAAGCACTATGCTCTTTGATAGACGCAATTCTTGCCAAAAATTTTAGAATTACAAGCTTTACAATAAGTATTATTGTCATCACATCGTCAATCCACTTTAAAAATAATGCGTTTTCTTCCCACTCCGCACGCTAAGTTTTATCGTATCTTCTTTTCATTTTAAATTACATAAATGTATGGTTTCGCGAAATCAAACAACATAAATGAACGAAAACGACTAAGTGTAAAACTGTGTTATCTAACATTATAGGAGCAACTTAAAAATGAACTGGGTTGAAAGACCTATTTTATAAAAATAGTCTTCATCTAATGAAAAATGAAATTCAATTTGCTATACCCACAGTAACGTTCGTTCAATAAATAATAAGGGAATCCCCAGATCACTTCACAGTAAAAACACATGAGTAAGGAAAACGACCAGAGGGGTAGCTACATACGAGTACAAACGGCTCGCTGCGAATACACCCACACATAGCGTAGCGGTGTGTACGTGAATTCTCAGCGACAGGTTTACCGACGCTCCGTCAGAGTATCTATGAAAGGACTGTTAGACGTGCACATTTAAATGATTAGTCCAACAATATTTCGAAATTGTAGAAATCAATTAATTTATTAAGTTACTTACCCTTAGTAAATAATTAGACTTATAATAATTAAAATAATCACAGTTAAGTAAATTATATAAATTTGTATAGGTAAAAAATAAGTGTACTGTATAAACAAAAATTTCTAATAGTTGTAGTTGATGTAATTAAAAGCTTTTTCCTTGTTAATAATTTTAATCAATATTCAGGACAATTACATGTTGAAAGGAAAACAATTATTGAATACTATTTTCTTCTTCGTGTCTTATATAATTATCTTCATTCTTATTTTAAAACATCATGGATCTAAGTCAGAATAAAAAAGTAATATATATATATATATATATATATATATATATATATATATATATATATATATTTATATTATGTATAACCATAGGCAATAGCTGCCAGTATTTTTCTCTGACTAATAACCTTCTTGAATCCACAAGATCCTCCCCACACAGAAAAATATGAAAGTAGAGACGATATAATATAATTTAAAATACTTAAACATAACGTGTAATCGAATTAAGTTAATTTTTAATGTTAATTAGAGAGCAGTATTTTAAATAAACATTCCTAACTAATTGACTAAATACATTTCGTCACCTTAGTCTAAGAATCTTCTTGGAATATTAATTACTCTACCATGTCTAGTACTAATAGAAGATGTTTGAGGTAAATCAGATGATATTATGTCCGAATTCGAAGTCGTCTGAGGACTATAATCCTTAATGTTAGGGTTACACACTGTCTTACTTTTATTATTAGATGGGTTGGCCCTGTGCCATTCGTTTGTAACTGTTGTTAGTTCCAGTGGATAAAGACTTTGTACAGCTCTTACCGATTCACCGGTAGCTGTCTGTACGTTTGCAACACTACAATTACCATCAGCACCTATAATTAACTCCTTTATAATACCTAATGGCCAATATAACCGACTAGTGTCAGTTTCAATAAGGACAATATCGTTTAATTTCGGCAAATTTTGTTTACACCTATCTTTACTACAAATTAAAGCAATATATTCGTTTCTAAAACGTTGTCGGAAATCTGCACGTAATTTGTTTAAATATTGTAAACGAATATTTATATTTTTTGCATCAATCAGATCTAAATCAGGCATCTCACTATTATCTAAGGGATGTAAAAACATCATTGGAGTAAGTAGTTTAAGAGAGTCATCAGCTGTTGCTACGTATGTCAATGGTCGGCTGTTAATGATTACTTCGCAGTCACAAAGTATTGTTGATAATTCAATCCAAGTTAAAGATTGTTTTCCTAAGATTCTCCTTAACATTTCCTTTACTACCTTTATAAGGCGCTCCCACCATCCTCCCCACCAGGGTGCACGCAGAGGTACAACACGCCACTTGATAGCTGGTGGAGATATGCTAGTTGCTGCTTCGACTTTTGCCCAATCAACCTCTTTTAATAAATTGGCTGAACCTTGAAAATTCGAACCACAATCAGTATATATAATGTTTATGCGGCCCCTTCGAGCTATGAAACGAAGTAAGGCCATCAAGAAACTATTTGTGGATAAAGATTCCACAAGCTCTAGGTGAACTGCTCTATATGTAGCACAAGTAAATAATACTATCCAACATTTCCTTTGATCACGGAGATGTAGAGGCCCCGCTAAATCTATACCAGTTATCTGGAATGCTGCATTTGCCTCAACTCTGTTTGATGGCAATGGTGCTTCAGGAACCTCGTAATGTTTTGTCTTGTATCCCTTACATATAACACATTTTGACACAACACTTTTAACAAGTCGTCTTGGGTTTAAAATCCATAAATTGTTTCTGAGGTTGGATAGCAAGAGCTGAGTTCCTCCATGATTTAATTTTTTATGTCTCTGTCGCACTAACCGCTGTACAATTTCGTTTTTTCCTGCCGGGCTAGCATGAGCAGGGGATAAAAATTTTATCCACCGATTATATCCACTGACAAGGGATAAAATTGTCTTATCCCTATGTCAAAGCTTTATTCACCCTGCGAGCATGGGCCTATTGTGGATATAATATCGACAGTAGATAAACTTATACCCGCGCATAGATAATATACCATAGTATAAAGCTATAAACTATATTAGCTATAAACTAGTTTTAAGATTAAGTAGATTTACATTAACTTATATTTTCTTTTACCTTTTGTTTATTATAGTGCTAAACTGTTAATAATTTTTGTCAAATATGTCATTTATAATAATTGTTATATTTATTTTAAGCGTATTTCTGCCTTGTTTTTATTTTTTCTATTATTCTAATTCATTCTTTATTTTCTTTTGTATAATATTTAAGTAAAGTATACATTGCTTGTATCAAATCGCAGGTATTACTTCGCTTGTGATAGCATTTATTAAAAAAATATGTATCTAGAATTAAGCCAATTGTGAAACTGGACAATACAGACCCTTTGGAGGTGGTGTAACCTCTTGAAGAAATTAAAAAAAAATTATCCCCGCAATTACTGCCATTATAAGAAAATTACAAAATACATCATAATTGATGTCTACTCTAAGTCACAAAGATTTAATTTTAATTGAAAATGATGAAGAATGATGAATAAAAATGTAATGATTTCAAACAATACAAGGAATAAATAATTTTATAATCATGAGTATTGTGTTATTTGTATTCCTAATATCATGTATATTAGTCTTTAAAATATTTAGCAAGCTTTGCTAAAGAATTAACATATTTCTTAATTTAAACCTTTGAATTGTAACTTTACTAAGTTTGATAACTTTATTTTAAAACGTTATAATACTTACCTAAAATATAGTATAGACCGATTCTATTATCATTAAATACGACTTGACCATGGACTCGCCTTGGGTATTGTTGACACAACCTATGTAATTAAATCATGGCATTGAGCTATTGAGACTCAATAACTCAATGTTTGAGGGGTGACTGCAATCTGAAAGGTTGTAGAATCTTTAGCCTGGACGACTATAGTCTCATGGGACCACCTGCAAGACTATTGTGGCACACATGCGTTACAGTTATTTTTTGGGGAAATGGGGAATATTAGATTAATATAATATTACTATTCTTTATTTGGAAAAAAAACTTGATTATTAGGTTTTAGGTTTTTAAAAACTATAACTTGTTTGCTATTACCAGTTGAACAATTTAAATTAGAATTGTAGACCGCGGAT